CTTAGCTCCTGCCTCATACACTTTGGCGTGATAAACGAACATCCCAGCCGGAGCCTCTTGCATTGCCGCAGTGCGTGTCGTGACAGACCTCCTCTTCCACTGTGAAGACGCAACGGCGCTGATTGCTTCGACGACAGCTGCGCCGTCCACGACTCCAGAGAAGCCAACGACAACCCTTCAACCCAGACCCCCGAAGACGATGCGACGACGGCGACTCGCGGTCGATCCGTTCTGATCGACAGGCCGAGGGCTACATGTAAACTTATAGCCAGTAGCTCTCTGCCTTTGTACCCGTGGCGCTTGAGTCAGCGTCACTACGCCCGCGACCTGTGGTCGATCCCTTCCAATCGACAGGCCCGGCCATCGCACGTGAACGACTCGGGAAGGCCCACACCCGCGCTGTCGTACGGGGGCGAACCCGGCTGCATTGTCGGTGCCTGCTTGCCCCAATGCGCCCTTCCGCCGATGGCCCTTGGCTGGTGTCGACCTCCCTTGGGAGGGCCAAGTCTGGCCGGCCAGAGGCCCGATGACGATCCCCTACTCACCGATGCGCTAAGCACCGCCGGCCTGCGCAGGGTGGGCGGGTCGCAGCTGCACGCGTAAAACAGGGCTAGGATCGGGATATATCGCTCCAGAGCGTTGCGGAGCGCTCTCAGAGCGTTCCGGAACGCTCTGGAGCGGCCGCGGCGCCCAATACATCCTCCAAACCCGCCGATTCTCAGAGATTTCGACTTATCCCGATCCGATTTTGTTCCGATCTTCGCGTCGTTTTGATGCGGGGAGTCTCAGCCACTGTCGCCCGGCCGTTCGCTGGCAGTGGGGCTACTCGGGGGTGCTCTTCGAGCTCAGGTGACTCTTCGTGGCGCACCGCGTGTTCCCTGAACGTCGCCCCATGGCCAGTATCGAAAGGCGTCGGCACGGGGACCAGGAGGGAGGAGGAAGAGGAGGAGGAGGAGGAGGAGGAGGAGGAAGAGGAGGAGGAGGAGGATTAGGAGTAGGAGTAGGAGTAGGAGTATGAGTAGGAGTAGGAGGTGGAGGAGGAGGAGGAGGAGGAGGAAGGAGGAGAGGAGGAGGGGGAGGAGGAGGAGGAGGAGGAGGAGGAGGAGGAGGAGGACGAAGAAGAAGAAGAAGAAGAAGGCGTCCCTCGTCGTCGGCCGTGCCCCCTCGCCTGGTGCTGGACGGGGCGGAGGGGTTCCATGGCATCGAGGATCGTCCCGACGTTGCCACTGCCCTGAGCCTGAGCAGGAAGAGGGAGCAGGATGAGGAGGAGGAAGGAGGAGGAGGAGGCGGGTGGAGGAGGAGGGCAGGAGGAGGAGGAGGAGGAGGAGGAGGAGGGAGGAGGAGGATCGAGGAGGAGGAGGAGCGGAGGATCGAGGGAGGAGGAGGAGGAGGAGGAGGAGGGAGGAGGAGGAGGAGAGGAGGAGGAGGAGGAGGAGGAGGAGGAGGAGGGAGGAGGAGGGAGGAGGAGGGGAGGCGGTGGCGGCGGAGGCGGAGGAGGAGGAGGAGGAGGAGGAGGAGGAGGAGGAGGAGGAGGAAAAGGAGGAGGAGGAGGATGAGGAGGAGGAGGAGGAGGAGGAGGAGGAGGAGGAGGAGCAAGAGGAGGAGGAGGAGGAGGAGGAGGAGGAGGAGGAGGAGGAGGAGGAGGAGGAGGAGGAGGAGGAGGAGGAGGAGGAGGAGGAGGAGAGGAGGAGGAGGAGGAGGAGGAGGAGGGCAGTAGGCGGAGGAGAAGGGAGGGAGGAGGAGGAGGAGGAGGAGGAGGAGGAGGAGGAGGAGGAGGAGGAGGAGGAGGAAGAGGAGGAGGAGGAGGAGGAGGAGGAGGTGGAGAAGGAGTATGAGGAGGAGAAAGAGGAGGGGGGGAGGAGGAGGAGAATGAGGACGAGGAGGAGGCGGTGGAGAACGAGGAGGATGACGACGATGACGATGACGATGACGGTGACGGTGACGATGATGCTGATGATGATGCTGCTGCTAATGATGATGCTGATGGTCATGATGATGATGAAGCTGATGATGCTGATGATTATGCTGCTGATGATGATGCTGACGATGATGAGCGATGCTGATGCTGATGTTCCTGATGATGATGAGTATGACGACGATGATGATGATGCTGATGATGATGATGATGATGCTGATGACGATAACGACGATGACCATGATGATGACGAGGATGATGATTCTGATGATGATGATTATGATGATTATGATGATGATGCTGATTATGATGAAGATGAAGATATTGATGATGATGATGATGATGATGATGATGATGATGATGATGATGATGATGATGCTGATGATGATGATGATGATGATGATGATGATGATGATGATGCTGATGCTGCTGCTGATGATGATGATGATGATGCTGCTGCTGATTATGATGGTAAGATGATGCTGCTGCTGATGATGATGCTGATGTGGCTGATGATGCTGACGATGATGCTGATGATGATGATGAGGCTGATGCTGCTGATGATGCTGATGATGCTGATGCTGCTACTGATGATGATGTTGTTGCTGCTGCTGATGCTGATGGTGATGATGATTATCGATGCTGATGCTGAGGAGGAGGAGGAGGAATGAGAAGACGAATCATGACAATAATGATCAACCGAAGCAGTAATTACCCCAGTGCGACCCTACCTAGAAGTTGGAGCCCCTAGGAACGCAGCATTAGTTGCGATGCTATGCTATGCTATGCTTTGTCATGCTATGCTGCGCTATGCTATTCTATGCTATGCTATGCTATGCTATGCTGCGCTATGCTATGCTATGCTATGCTAAGCTATGCTATGTCATGCTGCGCTGTGCTATGCTAAGCTATGCTATGCTATGCTAAGCTGCGCTATGCTATGCTATGCTATGCTATGCTATACTATGCTATGCTATGCTATGCTATGCTGCGCTATGCTATGCTATGCTATGCTTGGCTATGCTTGGCTATGTTATGCTATGCTATGCTATGCTAATGCAGCGCTGCGCTATGCTAAGCTAAGCTCAAATGAGCTAAACCTCTAGGCAGAGCCTAGGTAGGGAATTACACCCATGCTAATGTGCTATGCTGCGCTATGCTATGCTACGCTATGCTATGCTATGCTGTGCTCTGTTATGCTAAAGCTCAGCGAAGCTAAGATGAAAGTACGCTAAGCTACGATAAACCTGAGCTAAGTTGAAGCTAAGCTAAGCTAATATGAAATAAGCTAAGCTAAGATGAGATAAGCAACGCTAAGCTAAGGGGACGTAACTGGGGGAACCGCGGGGCGGATACCGGGGGAACCGCCCGGGCCGGTTCCCACTGCCCAGCCCTTTAAGCCAAGAGAGTAAGAACCCTTCTAGGCAGAGCCGAGGTAGGGAATAACAGTAAGACCAATGATAGTACTAATAAGAACATTAGGAATATGACTGATTCGAATAAGGAACATAGTTATACTAATAATCATAATACTGCACATGAGAATAGTAATTATCCCAGTGCGACCCTACCTAGGAGTTAGAGCATCTAGGAAAGCAACATCTACATCTACACCGACAGCTACATTACCATCTACACCTGCATCTACATCTACATCAACATCAACAGCGAGACTCACATCTACATCTACATCTACACCTACATCTACACCTACATCTACAGCTATGCTATGCTATGGTGCGCTATGCTATGCTATGTTATGCTATGCTTTGCTATGCTGCGCTATGCTGCGCTATGCTGCGCTATGCTATGCGATGCTATGCTAGGGTACGCTCGGCTGCGCTGTGTTATGCTAGGCTATGCTATGCTATGCTATGCTGCGCTGTGCTATGCTATGCTAGGCTATGCTATGCTATGCTGCGCTATGCTATGCTATGCTATGCTATGCTTCGCTATGCTATCATATGCTGGGCTATGCTATGATATGCTGTGCTGCGCTTTGCTATGCTACGCTATGCTATGCTATGCTGTGCTCTGCTATGCTAAAGCTCAGCGAAGCTAAGATGAAGGTAAGCTAAGCTAAGCTAAACCTGAGCTAAGATGAAGCTAAGCTAAGCTAAGATGAAATAAGCTAAGCTAAGATGATATAAGCAACGCTAAGCTAAGGGGACGTAACATTGGGAATCGCGGGGCGGATACTGGGGGAACCGCCCGGGGCGATTTCCACTGCACGGCCCCTTTAACAAAGAGAGTAATAACCATTCTAGGCAGAGCCTAGGTAGGGAATAATAGTATCAACAATAATCAGCATACAACTACTAATACTCATAAAAGTATGAAGTGAATGGAAATACAAATAACAATACTATTAATACTGAGGCTATTCATACTAATCGCATTAATACGAATCATAGAAACACGGATGCTAACAACAATAATGTGATTCACCGTAAGAGTGCTGCGACGAGCACAACTAACAAGAAACAGTCGAATACTAATAATGAGAAGACTACGCATAATACGAATACTAATGCGAATACCAATACTGAGAACAACCACAATCATACAACTAATAATACTGATATGAATATAGATAATAATACTACTCATCATGATCATACTAAACAGAAGAAAATATCATTAAACATAAGCACAGTCTTAATGGTACTTTAATGAGAAGAAGACGTCCCTCGTCGTCGGCCGTGCACCCTCGCCTCGTGCTACACGGGGCGGAGGCCACTGTCCTGAGCCCGAGCAGGAAGAGGGAGCAGGAGGACCGAGGGAGGAGGAGGAGGAGGAGGAGGAGGATCGAGGGAGGAGGACGATCGAGGGAGGAGGAGGATCAAGGGAGCAGGAGGAGGCGGAGGAGGAGGAGGAGGAGGAGGAGGAGGAGGAGGAGGAAGAAGAAAAATAAAAAACTGAAAACTCAGGAGGAGGAAGAGGAAGAGGAGGATAAGGAGGATGATGATGAGGAGGAGGATGAGGAAGAAGAGGAAAAGGAAGAGGAAGAGGAGGAGGAGGAGAAGGAGGAGGAGGAGGGGATTGAATGAGGGAGGAGGAGGAGGAGGAGCCCCAGCCCCTTAAGGTTGTGGCAAGAAGCAGGCTCTGCCTCGTGTCGGCCGCTCCGGAGCTGGCCGCCCTGAAGCCGGCCGCTCTGGAGCCAGCCGCCTCGAAATCGGCAGCGGACGCCTCGAAGCCGGCCGATTCGAAGCCGGCCGCCCCGAAGTCGGCCGCCTCGAAGTCGGCCGCTTCGAGGCCTGCCGCCTCCGAGTCGGCCGCGGGCGCGATACCGCACACGGTCCTGGAGGCGATCATTGGGGCAAGCTGTCGGGGGCGGCAAAGAGGGGGGTGATGACCAGGGGGGGCTGGATATCATGGCGTGGGCCATGGTGTTTCCCCAGATCTCGTGGCGCCTCGTCTTATTTCATGACGTCCCTGGTCCCCCCGCTGGGCCGCGCACGTGCCGCCGGTCATGATTTGCACCCCCCCCTCTTGGACCACCCCCCTCCTTGGCCGCTCCCGAATTTGTGGGTGAACTGAGCTCTGGGGGGCACGGGTTTTCGGACGTTCTCGTGGGTTCTCGGCAGTGATCCAGCCTCAAGTCGGGCGTGTCCCTCTACAGGAGGACTATTCGAATCAAGACATAGTCCAAAACTAGTCGGAAGTCGATCTTTTTAGTATTTCTCCATGTCTGGATATTTTTCGAGGATTATTTGTTTTTCATCCAAAATCAGCCTGTAGGAGGACATGCCCGACCTAAATCCAGCCTCGGGATGCTCTCCAGCAGCCGCGCCTTGCCGAGAGCGGCGCCCGGGGGTTGCCCAGATCCTCCCGAGCGGCCGCCCGAGACCCAGGCTATGACCCGAGGGAGAGAAGCACACCGAGACGCACGCCATCGTCGACTCCCCGGAGAGAATGTGGGAAGATGTGGGAAGTGGGGGGGGGGGGACGACGAGAGCCCCAGAAAAAAAATGTGGGAAGGCGTGGGGAATCCTGGGATGTGTGTGTGTGTGTGTGTGTGTGTCCCTGCACGCGCGAGACATCCTCGGAATTCCTGCGCACGGGGCGCTTTTCCGCGTCGCTGTCAGCCTGGGCTCCTTGCAGACGCGGAGGGGGGCGTGCCCCTCCGGTCGGGGCACGCGACCGCCCTCCCCGTAGGGGAGCGTGCGGGCTCCCCATCGGGGGCCCGTCGGCGACCCAGACCTGCTCGCGTCGATCTCCAAGGGGTCCAGGGAGGAGGAGGAGGAGGAGGAGGAGGAGGAGGAGGAGGAGGAGGAGGAGGAGAAGGAGGAGGAGGAGGAGGAGGAGGAGGAGGAGGAGGAGGAGGGGAGGAGGAGGAGGAGGAGGAGGGAGGAGAAGGAGGAGGAGGAGGGGGAGGGGGAGGAGGAGGAGGAGGAGGAGGAGGACGAGGAGGAGGAGGAGGAGGAGGATGAGGAGGAGGTTAGGCGTTTGGCCGAGGACGCGGGGGGGCATTTTGCCGCGTCCGAACGGCCAACCCCAGCGGTCGGAACCGACCGCGCGGCAGCGATTCCGCGCCAGCGGAGCCCAGCCTGGCATCGCAGGGCCAGAGCCCAGCGTCACGAGGCCAGGCATCTCGTCAAGCTCCAGGCTGCGGTCGCGAAGCTCCAGGACCACCACAGTTTTGGCATGAGTGGGAGATGGCATTGTGCATGTGGCAAGTCAGTCCCCTCTCACTTGCAGTGGTGCTCTTGTGGCAGATCGCGGGAATCCCAGTACAGCAAAGACGGCCACAACAGAGCGAGGCAGTCAAGTCGGTCCAGGGCAGCTTCCAAAACGGCTCCCTGGAAGAGGGGCACAGACAAAATATCGGGCGAAGTACTAGATCAAGAGATTAGGAGGGTCATTTCCAAGACGGCCCCCGCGTGTCCCCAGAAGGCAGAGTCCATGCCTGGGTGGACACGCCCGCCCACGGAGGCAAGCGCTCAGAAGAAGTTCAGAGAAGAAGTTCGTCGACGCCTATATCACACAGCTCACTCAGTGGTGGCCGCCCAGATGGCGGGACGTACCGACGACTTCGCGTTAGAGGCCATTTCCCTGGACAAGTATGCGCTGCTATTGCTGCAGCCGCCCCAGAGACGAATCACAGAGACACAGCAGCGATTGGACAAGGCCCTCGAGAGACAGCTCACACTCGCCGCCAAGGTGCAGGAAACCAAGGATGCGGAGAGCCTCGGTCAGAAAGAGCTGGAGCAGTTGGAACAATGTTGGGAGCAGCTCAAGGCCATGAAGGCAGAGACAGAGCAGGATTGGATGTTGGCAGACTCCACTATGACAGATGCGGCGCCTGCTCAAAAGCCTCCTCAGGCCCAGCCTACCTACCAGTCACATGGGGCATGGACACGAAACTCAGCTGGAGAAGGCCAAGTGGAGGGTATGCAGCAGGCAATACAGGCAATGGTGAGTCGCCAGCAGTCCATGGAGCAATTCATTCAGCAGATGATGGCTTTCACGGTGGCTCAGAATACTATGCCAGGGGTGATGCCACCCCCGCCGCCGCCATATCCTGCTCAGCCCATTGGTCAGCAGGCAGCGGCAGCTCCAGCCACCTCGCCCTCGCCGTTTGTCAGCCAGATGCCTCTGCCACAGCAGGGGCCTCACATGTTCGGGAATTCACCTTTGGTCAACAACCCGTTCACCAAGACCCAGATGAGCCCCTGCACACCAGGTACAGCCATGGCGTCAGATCAAGCTCCTCTAGTGGCAGCGGCAGCACCGACGGCAATGGCAGCAGCAGCGTCAGCGGCAGAGGACATGGTTGCAGCACCGCCTGCAGCATCGCATACGCATGCAGACATGCTCACGCAGTTGAAGGGCAAGGGCAAGGGCAAGGGAAAGGATGTCAGGGACTTCATGGGGTTTACCTCAGCCATGTGGGATCATATGAAGGAGACGCCTCAGTTGACCACATTTGGCAATGGCACGCCGATTACTTCCGGTTTGGATCCGACTCCAGGTTTGACTCCCAGTCCAATGATACTTCCCGCGGAGGTTGCTGGATCAATACAGTCGCCCTCATGTCCAGTGGCAATCCCGTGCTCGCCCACGCAGCCCATGCACCCTCACAGAAAATTCCTGGTCCAGCAGTATCAGTTACAGCGGACTTGAGGGAGAGGGCATTCCAGTGCATGATGAGCTCTCAGAGCCTCGTCGACCGCGAGAACGGAGTTTTCCCCCCAGCATGGTTCCCCACGACCCAGGAGTTGCAGATGGGCGTCTACCCTCCACCGTCTGCCCCCCAAGGAGGGAGCAGCGACGGGCTCGGAGGCGCTACCGCCAGGGGACAGTCCAGCCAGGAAGAACCAACGACAAAACGAGCTGTTGGAAGTGGAGGACTAAGTCAGCATGGAGGTGACAGAGCTGATCAGAGTCTCGCTTGGGATGTGGCAGACTCTGAACACAGCAGTCTTGGCCAATTACTTTCACGCTCGGCGAGGGCCAGTGGGGCAGCGGCCATCTCGTCAAACTATCGTCGATATTAGCTTTTGCCTTCTGATGAGGGAAGGGTGATTCAGCCGCCCACTTCGATCCCCCCCCGATGGCTTGGCAGGCGTGCTGTCATCGATGGAGGGTAATGAGAACGAGATCCAGATACCTGCACCTAGGGTACATCGTGATATACATGATGCCAAGCAGGGAGATGGATAACATCATGAACATCAGCTTTTCCAGCTAAACAGGGAGGAGGCGCGGGACCTTGCCATCTTCCACCCCAAGACGCTGGAGGGCAACGACTCTGGGACATCGGCCTCCACGAAACGGTTGCGGCCCAGCCCTGGTGACCCTGGGAAGGCTGAGACTCCTGAGGCAGAGACCTGGGGGCCGAGAGCGCCCCCTCAAGGTCCACCGCAGGGGAATCGCTGGAGGGGCGGGGTGAGTACTGTCAGGACCAGGAACCCCTTTTCGACAGCCACGGATTGGGGGGCACAGGCTCTTGATCCTCCTGGCGCCGCTCCCATCGGGTCTGCGCAGAGTATTTTTTCCGGCCAACTCGAGTGGCAAGGGAACCCCGGGGCCCGGCTGAGGGGTAGCAGTGTGCAAGACACTCGGAAGAGTCCAGCTGACTCCCATCCCCCTCTCACTTGCCTTTATAATTTTCCCGTCGATTTTCCTTTTTGGGGGGCAGCCGCGGGCGTGAAGGCCAGGGTCCCAATCGACTCTGGGAGCGCCTCGAATCGCCCCCCCGCGGGGGCTCCTAGGCCTGTGCGCCCTAGGGGACCTCGCGCAGCTAAGCCTCGCCCAGACGCGGTGCCTGTAGAAGGCGCATCGCGAAGCGATGCGCACAGCGCCAATCAGATTTCATCAGGCTTGAGAGGTTTTGGGCCTCGCCAAGTCTCATTTGCCGAGGCGCCTTGCTTCCCCCCGCATATGCAAGGGGAGCTCGACAGCCTGGCCAGAGAGAGAGAGAGAGAGAGAGAGAGAGAGAGAGAGAGCGCTAGTCAATCTCAGATGCGCTCCCAAGACCTCAGCCTTGAAGGGAGGCAGGGCCGGCTTAGGTAAACTAATTCCAGGACCATGCATGGGCCCTTCATCCCGCCTGGGGACCTCTGGAGGCTTAGACGGGGACCAGGGATACCCCCCCCCACCCAGAAAGCCGAGCCAGAACCGTGCTTCATGGACTACACCAGGGTCCAGTTGCGCTCCACTACATCATTACTTGGCATAGCTCAGATTGCACGACCCCCTGAACTCGATTTTCTGGTTGCTGAAGAGCTTGAGCCACCAGCGCGCTATGCCCTTGAGCATGCTATCAGATGGAGACCAGGTAACGATGACCTCGAACGAGTCAAGAAGGTTCAACTATACACGGATGGGTCTCACTACCTAGCCAAGGGGAAGGCGGGCTGGGCCATCGTCATGCTGGCCGAGGGGGGCGAGGGCCAGTTCTTCATGGGCACCCTCAGGCGCCAGCTCAGGGACTCATGTGGGCTCGGGTTAGATATTGAAAGGGTCACCTGCGCAACCATGGAACTCCTTGCCATCTGTTGGGGACTTATTTGGGCCCTCTACCTCCCTGAACACGTCGCCATCACGCTGGTTTCGGACTCGAAATGCTCCCTTGACATTATTAACTTAACCGCGATGCCCGAAAGAGATGTTGACCTGGCCAGGTTGGCTACGGTCATATGGGACGTCGTGAAGCAGCGAGCCAATGCTAGCAACCAGCATGTGTATAGCCACAATCTGGATCCGTGGAACACCTTGGCTAATAATGTTGCCAAGGCGGCGGCGCTTGGCACAGTGCCTGACTCTGTGCTGCCTGACCTCTGGGTTGAGGGGTTAGCTCAC